TAAAGAAAATTTAGATAATTTTTAATTGGAAAGCATTTTCATAGTGTAAGATTTATCTATTTATTCATTGCATTAGGGATTGAACCCAGGGCTTTTGCACTGAGCTCCGTCTCCAGCCCTTTTTTATATTTTTGTTTTGAAACAGAGTCCAAGTCACTAAGCTGCACAAGCTGAGCTCAAACTTATGATCCTCCTGCCTCAGCCTCCCACAGTGCGGGGATTGCAGACATGTGCCACCATTCCTGGCTATAGTATAAGATTTTTAAAGTGTTTTCCAAACTGGAATCCTAAACATATTCTCAGCAAATCAACCATTTTCCCCCCTCTAACAGGCCCACGTACTTTTCAACCTTGAGAAATAATTTTCTCCAGCTTGCCCTGTGGGTGCTGCAGTGGTGATCGGGGAGCCCTGTTCCTCCTTCTTTCTGCACTATAGCCCCCAAGCCTTCTAGTCCTTTTCCCTCACCATGGAGGGGATAGTCCTTGGGAGAGGGCCCAGGGTGGGAGAGGCTGGAATGGACACCAGAGATCCCTCCCTGGCCCTCCCAAGGGAACTGAGGGGTCCACTTACCTTCTCAGATATTTGGCAAAAACTTTGGGGTATATGAAAGGAAGTAACTGGTGACAGGCTAAGGTAGGTTTTGATTGAAGATGTAGTTCACACCATCAAGAGCCTGTTGCCACTGGGGGGTCACCCCAGCCCTCCTGAGGCCCAAGGAGAAATTTAGAGGCCCTGAGAGCTGACTAGATTGTGGTTTACCACTAGCCCCACCACATGCATAATGCAAAATAAAATTACCTTAATCTATACAATTAGGGTTACGGTATTCATGAATGCTCTAGTTTTTCAGCAGTGCATAGTGTAAGGTACTTCTGGTTTTTGATGAGTTATTTCTTTTGTGCTGTTGGGGATGGAGTCCAGGGCCTCAGGCATGCTAAACACCCTCTGTACCACTGGACTACAGCCCCAGCCCTCTGATGTAATTTTCAAAATATCAAAATGTTAAACTGGGCATGGTACACGTACACATGTAAATCCCAGCACTCAGGTGGCTGAGGCAGGAGGATTGCCACCAGGTTGAGATCAGCCTGGGCTATATAGTGAGTTCAAGGCCTGCCTGAACTACGTAACAAGACCCTGTCTCAAAAAATAAAAAACAAAAAAGGGGGAAAAAATGTTGTATATGTGAAGCTTTTTGGAAACCCAGCAGTCCCTCTGGGTCGTTCTTCAGGACACCCTAGGAAATGTCACTATGGCAGGGACCCTTGGGCAGTGACTAGGAGGGGTCTGTCTGGGGCAGGGAGAAAGCAGGGAGACAGGCCTCCACCCATTCCCGCTGACCCAGAAAGGATCCCCTTGGCACCTGCCTTCATCGGACCCCTGCATTCCAGGAGCCTGTTGCCAATGGAGCAGGGGGCTGGAGATGTAACCCAGAGGCGGAGCACTTACCTAACATGCACAGAGCCATGGGTTTGATCCTAAGCACACATTAAAATTTTTTTAAGAAAGAACTGGGCATGGTGGTACATGCTGGTAATCCCACCGCTCTGGGAGACTGAAAGCGGAGGATAGAAAATTCCAGCCTAGCCTGAGCAGCTTACCCCTTTAGAGAGACACGATCTCAAAATGAAAAAGGGCTGGGGATGTAGCTCAGTGTACAGGCCCTGGGTTTGATCCACAGTACCAGCAGCACACACAAAAAATGAACCCGAGGCGTCTGAGGGCCCTCACTGCGTGGTCACTCTTCCCCTTCCAGGAAGCTGAGCGCAGATCTCCCTGCCCATCCCCACCCCTGCGGTCTCCTCTCCCTTGCTGTCCAGCCCAGGTCCGCCCACTCTAGAGAAGGCGCTGCAGCCTTCCACCCCTTCTTCAGTAACAGCAGAGCAAAGGAGGGAACCACTCACCTCAGTCCAGCCACCCAGAGCTCCTCTGAGAGGCTCATTAAAGCTTTCGAATAAGCAATTAAGGGATGAGCCCATTGCCGGTCTGGATTCTCTGTTCCCAGTGGGGAGTCTGGCAGAGAAAGGCTGAGTGGGTGGACAGAGAGGAGACGGGCCCTTCTCCGCCAAACATAACCAAGCGCACAAACAGAACTCCCAGGGGGGCAGTGCAAGGCTGAGCCCTAACTTCCCCCAGACCCTGGGCTCAGGGAGCTTTCATCAAAGCTGCGGACAAGCTGGGGGAGGCAAGGGTACCTCAACTGAACAGTGCCCTCTGAATTGGGCCACCTCCCTTGAGGTCTGCAGCGGCCGGGGTGTTGGGGAGGCTGCAGAAGAGCAGCTCCCCGCCTGCCTCTTCCACCTGGGCCGAGTTGTGGCGAGCGGCGGCCTCCCCTGCTCTGTACTGGCCGTTGGGCTAAGGGCTTGAACAGTCGAGGGCAGTGGAGGGCAGGATGGGAACACTGAGCCCAGTCCTGGGGTGCCCAAGTAGAAAGGGGCCATCGCAACTTCGCACCTGCTCAGCCCACCTGCACAGGGAACCCCAAGTCAGATCCAGGCTTGGGGAGACTCAGGGCAGGTCAAATAGCTGACTTGGGACTGCTGCCCTGCCCAACTCCAGGGGGCGCCGTGTTCACAGAACAGAGCACAGCGCTAACCAGGAGCCCAGTGCCCCCGACTCTTCCAGCATCTCACATCACCTTCCGTCTGTGTCCTCCCTGTCCCCTCAGACTCCTGAGCAACAACAAGATCACTGTGCTCCGCAATGGATCCTTCCTGGGACTGTCCCTGCTGGAGAAGCTGTAAGTGCTGGGTGAGGTGGGGTGCGGAGGTGACGGTGGACGGAAAGGTCCCTGAGCAAGCCTGAACCGTGGGGCCACGCCAGGCCCCCATGGACCTGCCCAGGACTTGACCACCGGGCACAGGACAGTGCAGGGCTGGTCTGGGAGCAGGAGCAGAGGGGCAGAGAGGAGCAGGGAATCCTTGCTGGTTGGCAGGGGTGGGGCCGAGGGAGCTCATTAACGCTCTTTAATGAGCAATTAGCTGAGAGGGCTGAGCCCTTTAGCTGGCCGCCTCCTCCCGGCGGGGGACCCAGCAGGAAAGGGCCGAGGCGGACTTAGTGTGACCGAAGCCTCTCTGTCTTTCTGGAAAAACAAATCAACAAATAAAGCCCCGAGGGGGGCGAACTGATCCTTTCGGAGCCTCCTGCCTCCCTCTGGCCTGCTTTAAAGCTGAGTTTTCTGCAGTGTCCGCAGGCGGATCAGAAGCCCCCACCTGCCCTCTGAGCTCCCTCGAGGCAGTGAGGTGCAGGGGTCGCCTGAGGTCTGCTGTGGCGGGTTTGTGGGAGAAAGTTAGTGAGAATCAATGCAGAAGGCCTGGCCTGGACCTCGTCAAAGTGTTTGTGAGGCAACGAGGGCTTGGGAGAGGTACGCGGGTCACCTAACTCGATACCCGAGGGGTTTTGCTCATCCTCTCCAAACTCTCTGTTCTGGGGGCTCCCAGAACCACAGCCTGCACCAAGGCCTCAGACCCTGGTCCCCAGCTCAGAAGAGACCTGGCCCACCTTCTCGCCTTGAGACCGGTTCTCGCTTTCTCCCCACTCACTGCAAGCCCCTGGGCTCTCTGTGTTACCCTCCTGCCTGGCATCACTAACTCCTCTCACAGGGCCCTCGGCCCCCCTGGGCCCAAAAGCTTTGCATCGGTGATATGGGAGACCCAAAAGGAGCCTCCTGATGAGCAGCCTGACGTCTAGTGGAGATCAGAACAATGCCGGGCTCTGGGCATTAAGTAGGTTGGAGTTTCTGTTGGGTCAAAGGAGGTACCTGGAAGGCTGAAACGCTGGAGGGTGATGGAGATGCAGCTCCAACGGGACAGGACGTGGTATTTAGACTTCCCGAGGGACAGTTTCTCCCAGGCAGCCTCTGCCCCACCCATTCCCCAGTGTAAGGAAAGCCTTTCGCCCATGTCCTCAGACCCCAGGAGGCACTTGATGGCCTAGCTGGGTTGGTGGGAGTGCAGAGGGCCGTGGTCCACATCAGAGCAGGCTGGGGATGTCAGGGGTCTTGGCGGTGGGGGTGGCGCGTGCGCACAGCTGGGCCGGGGTCTCTGTCCAGACTCCACAGCTCACAGAGCAAGGGCTGCAGCCACTCAAGGTTCTCCACTGAGGGCTGGGTCATCCCTCAGTGAGACTTGCTCTTTAGAATGCCCAGGGGCTGGAAACCAAATGCTCTCCCGGGTCTTGGCGGGGGTGGGGGTGCGCAGCTGGAACGGCCTGCCCTCTCCCTGCCCCAGAGCACTGGTTGCCAGCAGTTACTCTTCCTTCTCTGCTTGGTGAGCACAGCTCGGAGCTCCCTGGCTCTTCTCCCGTTGCCCTCATCATCTGCCGCCTCTTCTTTGGCTTCAGTCTCACGAGATATATTTTCTGATGAAGGCAACAAGATGGGCCTCTCCTTCCCACCGGTGCAAACGTACCGAACCCATTCCTCTCCACAGCACTGGAGTGGAGGGAGGCCCTGCAGCAGGCGCATTCAAGGCGTGCCCCAAAACACAGGGCAATCAGAGATGCATGAGAGAAGGCATCTGACTCAGCACTGAGCCGAGGGGTATGGGAGGAGTGTGGGCATGGGACAGGGCACCATAGCTGGACACGATGTGTGTAACCCCAGGGGCACCGGAGGCTGAGGCAGGATGTGGCAAGTTCCAACCCATCCTGGGCAATTTAGTGAGGCCCTGTCTCAAAATAAATTTTATAAGGGCTGGAGCTGTAGCTCACTGGTAAAGCCCACCTGGGTTTGATGTCCAGTACTGAAAAAAAAGAAATCTCCCAGCCCTGTATGAGCCCTGCTCTGCTATGAATCACTCCATTCATTTATTTTTCGGATGGTTTTGGAGCTCCTCCCTGTGCCAGGCTCCACTACAGGCATGAGGGGTGAGCATAGCTCCTCACCCTCTCCTGCAGACCTAGGAAGTGGCAAAGCCATGTGTCATATGTCAGGAGATAGACACAGAGAAAACAAAGCAGGGTGAGGGGCGGGAAGCAAGGGGAGCAGGTGCTGATTTATGTAGTGAGAGCAAGGAAGGGCTGATAAGGCCAGAAGGGGTGGAGGAGAGAGGAAGCTGCACACAGATCTTGCAGGGACCCTGGAGAAATCAGCTTCGCAAAGCCCTGGAGTGCAGAGTGATGGCGGCGAGGTAAAGAAACGAAAGGACAGGGCAGTGTGGTGAGCACTTTTGTAGTCCCAGCCACTCTGGAGTTTGCATTGTGTAGGAAGATTGCTTGAGCTCCAGAATTTGAGGCCAGCCTGGGCCACACTGTGAGATCCTATCTCAAGAGAGAGAGAGAGAGACAGACAGGGGGAGGGAAAGAGGATAAAGAAGGGAAGAGGGGAGGGAGGAAAGGAAAGAAAGGTCCTAGTGTGGCTAGGGAGAAGCACGGAGCCTGCTGCTGGGGACGGCTTCCCAGAGAAGGAGTCCCGGGCAGAAGCATGTGAGCAGGACCGGGTGCTGGGTAGAGTCTGTGACCCGCTCACCCTGCTCAAGAGCAGGCAGGACTTGATGCTTCCATCTCAAAGCAGTTTCTTCTCCAGGAAGCCTCAGTTTCACCTCCTGAGGTCTTCCCTGATTGGATGAGACCCACCCACATTGTTAAGGGTCATCTTTCCCTTAGGTCAGCTGATGGTAGGTATTTCTACACCTACAAAACCTCCACAGCAACATCTAGAATGCTATTTTTTGCTTTGTTTTTTTGAGTCTGGGTCTCACTGCGTTACCCCAGCTGGGTTCAAACTCCTGAGCTCATGTGATCTTGTTTCAGCCTCTGCAGTAGCAGAGACTGTAGGTATAAGCTCTCTACCCAGCCAGACTAGTGTTGAACCAAGAGCTAAGAGCCAAGTCCATGCATGACAAACCATCATAGCCACGCCCAGGGTGGGGAGAGGGCCCAAAATGAGACATATCCTGCACCCTACTCCTGCAGAGGCCAAGTTCTCGGGTCAGGTTGAGGGGGCCTGGGAAACTTCTGCATGGTATTCAGACAACTCTTATGCTCAGAGGGATGGGAAACTGTAGGGAGATGACCCCAAGACTGTGGGCCTATTCATCTCAGACATGATGCGAGGGCTGGCATGGGCTGGGCCCAGGACACACTAAGTCCTCTGTCCAGCTGGGCTTAGCTGTCTCAGCTGGGCATGGAGGCCAGGGCAGCTTAATGTCCCACTGTCTGTGAGCAACCCGTGGGAGGCTGCAACCAGACTATGAAGAGAATGGTGGGTCCAGACTGCTCCCAAAGGTACCCACCCGGATTCCTCCTTCTGAGAGCCCCTGGCCTTTGAGGATGAGTTGTTTGTTGATGTGTGTGTCGGGAAGGGGTCGCCTTGCTGTCCAGTGGTAGGGAGGAGACCTGCTGCATAGTGCCTGTTTTGTTGTGTTGTGTTTTTTGTGATTCTGGGGATTGAACCCAGGGCCTTTGCTGAGTCACTGAGTTGTCCAGGCTGGGTCTGAACTTATGCTCCACCATGTCAGGCCTCAGTGTCTGTTTTGTAGTACAGGGCCAAGACCAAGGATTTAGGCAGGTGGCAGGTGACATCTATGTGAGTGTGGACAGGGAGGTCACGGGGAAGGGAGACAGAGTGGACACAGAGTAGGGATGTATCTCAGAGGCTCTTTGGGAGGCTGGCAGGGGAGCCAGGGGCCCACCTTTATCAGAAACCCCAAAACAGGGCCAGCAGCGGCAGTTCATGGCCAGCCCAGACTTCACGAGGTCTTGTGCCTGAGCTCTGCCCTGTGTCCCGCCGCCTCTCAGCCTGGCCAAGCCTGTGTCATCCAGGGGAGCGTGGAAAGGCCTGGGACTGAGGCCTGCTTTTGTCCTTCACCCTGTGGTGCCCTCCCCAGCCTCATGATCCTCACCTGGAAAGTAGGGCTAGGACCGACTCCCAGACAAGTTGTTCTGTGCATGGAGGACTCTTCCCAGACAGCATGTGCCTTCAGCAAATGGCTGTCCCCTTCCCTGCTAACGAATCCCCAGTTCCACGGTCAGCCTGGTAGCCCGCACTTGCTTAGGCAAGTGGTTATGGTGCCTTTGCCTTTTCCTTGGCCATGCTGGGGATGGAACTCAGCACTTCCCACTTGCTGAGCAAGTGCTCTATCACTGAGCAACAGCCCAGCCAGAACCGTAAGTGCACCAAGTGGGCAGGTGACTCATTCCTCTGGTTCCTTGCTGGGCTATCCAGATCCCCCACCAAGCAGGCAGCAGGCAGCAGGCAGCAGACCACCAGACTTTTCAAGGAACTCTGAGGGTGTCCTGATCCCAGTATGAGGCCCCTAGACCACAGACCAAGGAGGCCACAGGCATCCGTATCTGCGTGTGGATCAGTGTGGATCTGTGTGGACGCAGCCTGCCGCAGGCTCAGCTCGAAGAGGCTGGAAGAAGAGATTGGGGAGGGGCCTGCTCACCCCCCCTCCCCGATGATTTGTCATTGCCTAATGAGATTAATGAGCCCTGGGGCTGGTATGCGGCGGTGCTGGGCACTCATTAGAAGCAGATGCTCATGGGAACCAGGGAGTGGGGGCTGGGGTAGCAGCCCCCTCCACGTGCCAGGTGGTTTCCATTAATCTGGGGGCTGGGCAGGCCAGAAGGCCTGGAGCTCTGTCCTGCCACACTGGGAAAGCGTGTGCTCAGAAGGGAAGGCGATGGACAGGTACAGGGACAGTCCGCCTGCTTGCTGTGGTGGCCCCGGGGCCCAGCACAATATATGTGCTGAATAAATACCTGCCGGGAGATATCAGAGACTGGAGGGCCTGGGAGACGGTGTGGGAGGGAGGCTCGGCCTCAGCGGGGCCTTTGGGACCCCAGAACCTCTCCTCCTTCTCCCCCTAAAGCCTCTATACCTGAAAGGGTGCTCTGGCCCTCATCAGAGCCGGCCCACACTTTCTAATCAACCCGGGAAGTCTTGTAGGGCCCAGGGCAAGCTGCTCTGTGGCCTCCAAGCCTATAATTTGGTTTTCAAACCCACAAACAGGGAGGTCTGTGGGGCTTGAGGGAGCCAGTGTTGTGCCACCCCGCCCTGCCTGAATGTGGAGACACAGGCACACACAGTCACACCAACCCGTGCGCACACTCTTAACAGCTCTAATGAAATCTAATTTATGCACCATAAAATTCACCCATTTAAAGTCCACAGTCCAGTGGCTTTTAGTGCATTTTAAATAATTGTGTGATCATCACCATGTTCTAATTTTAGAACATTTTCATCATCTACCAAAGAACCGTGAATAATTAGCAGTTCCTCCCTGTTCTTCCAGCCCCTGCTCCCCAGCCCTGAGCAACCACTAATCTACTTTCTGCTCCTATAGATTTGTTTATTATGGCCCTGTCACAGAAATGGAATCATATACTACGTAATCTTTTATAACTGGCTTCTTTCACCCAGTGTAACATTTTCCAGGTTATCCACATCTTAGCATGCATCAGTGCCTTATTCTATGTTGTGGCCAATAATATTCCACCGTGTGAGTATACCACCTCTCTATCCATTCATCAGATGCTGAACTTCTGGCTGCCTTCCCCTTTGTGGCTATTATAAATAATGCTGCTAGGGACTTTCACCTGCCCATTCGTGTGTGGGTGTTTCTTTGCTTCTCTTGGATATATACCTAGGAAATGGAATTGCTGGGTTTTATGGTAACTCTAAATGCCAAATTATTTTTCAAAGTGCCTATACCATTTTACATTCCTACCAATAATAGGTAAGGGTTCCACTTTCTCCACATCCTCACCAACACTTGTTATTGTCTATGTTGTTTTTTTTTGTCTTTTGAGACAAGATCTCACTATATAGTCTAGGCTGGCCTGGAACTCGCTGTGTATCCCAGGCTGGCTATGAACTCACAATCCTTCTGCCTTGGCCTCCCAAATTGTGGAATTACAGGTGTGTGCTACCACACCCAGCTCTTGTCTTTTTTTATTATAGTCATCTGAATGATATAAAGTGGCATCTCTTTGCTATTTTGATTTTTAGTTCCCTTATGATTAATGACATCAAACATCTTTTGATAGGTTTATTGGCCATTAACATGAGTTGGGGGTCTTGCTGTTTTACCCAGGCTGGCTTCAAAGTCCTGGGCTCAAGCGATTTTTCAGCCTCAGCCTCCCCCATAGTTGGGACTATAGCTATGCCCCTGTAGATTTCTTTGAAGAAATGAGATGTTCAAATAATGTGCCATTTTTTTTCAACTGGATTGTCTTCATTACTGAGTTACAGTTCTGTATGTATTCTGGATAGAAATTCCTTATCTGATGTCCGATTTGCAAATATTTTCTTTCATTCTCTGGTTTTCTTTCTTTCTTCTTTTTCTTCTTCTTTTTTTTTGAGACAAGGTCTCTCTGTATTTCAGGCTGGCCTTGAGTTCACTATGTAGCCCAAGCTGGTCTCAAATTCACAATGATCCTCCTGCCTCAGCCTCCCAAGTACTGGGATTACAGGCATATACTACCGTGTTCAGCTGGTTTGCTTTCTTTTTTAAAAAAAATTACGTTTATTAGTTTGCAATACATAATGGATACATTCATCATAAGGAGTTGATACATGTATGATTTCACTTTGTGGAAGGTGGCCTTTAAGATACAAAAGTTTGTTTGTTTATTTTGTGGTACTAGGGATTGAATTCAGGACCTTTACACAGAACTACATTCCCCAGCCATTTTTAAATTGCTTTATTTTGAAACAGGATCTTGGTTTCGTTTTTCATTTTTGAGACTGGCTCTTTATGTAGCCAAGACTGGCATCAAACTAGGTGATCCTCCTGCTTCAGCTCTGGAGTGCTATCATTACAGGGGTGTACCATCACGCCTGGCTGAAGGTTTAAAATTCTTATGTCCAGCTCATCAACTCTCTCTCTCTCATTGCTGTGCTCACACACTCTTACACACTCAGGGCACAGTGCACAGTTGCTCCCAGGAGCCTTCCTCACTTCCAACTTAGGGTCCTTCTCCACCTTAGCGTTGTGGTGCAGTTGGTGGAGAGGGGTTTGTGCCTGCAGTCAGAGGCGTGATGAGCAGTCTCCACGGCAGATAGATGGGGCAAGCGGGAGGTTCTGGCAATGCACCACATCTCTCCCAGGTTCCAGGAACAGATTCTGTGGAAGCAGATCTGTGCTGCTTGGTCCCACTTAACAAATACACCAGGCATGGTGGTACACATCTATAATCCCAGCACTGTGGGGGGCTGAGGCAGGAGGATTGAAAGTTCAACCTAGACTGGGCAATTTAATGACTTGGTGAAGACCTGTCTCAAAATAAAAAATAAAAGGGCTAGCTAGAGATGTTGCTCAGTGTGAAGGGTCAGTTGAGAGAGAGAGAGAAAGATAGGAAGGGATCGGTTTAGACAACCCAGGGCAAGTGTTCTTAACCTGGGTTCCACAGCACCCCTGAAACCCTGTGCATGATGTTGGGTGTAGTCCATTTTTCTAGGACAGGAGTCCATGGCCTTCATCAGATTTCCCAAATGATTTGCTAAACAAGAAGGGCTCAGAACCACCAATCAATAGCGCCTTGCAGATCCAAACAATGTCCAAGTTCTGTGGCTGAATTTCTTCCTGCCCCAAGGGGTGCAAGCCCCAAGTCCCTTATTGAGATATCGGGGGTGTCACCTGCCAGTGGCCCATTGGGCTGTCAGAATTCAGCCCAGGGAGCAGGCTGGACCCAGGGAAGGACCAGGACCACCTGCGCCCTGCCTTGGATCCCTGAAGGCACTCCGAAGGCAGGCACACGGGGGGAAGAATAGCCCTTCTCCCCTCTCCTAGAGGCCCCCAGATCCACCGCAGAAAATCGAGGGCAGGAAGAGGGGCTGGGCCTGAGGGGCCGCCTCGCTCCCATCTGCAGCGCATCAGTGGGGCAGCGGGTGGGGCTCACCAGGGGGCCGAGAGGAAATGAGAATAAACACAGCACACGGAGCGGGAAGGGGCGGGGGGCTGCAGCCTCAGCCCCTTGGCAGCCCATGAAGGGAAGTGACACAATGAGGAATGTGTTTCCCTCTGCTGTCCCCATGTGGGGGTGGGAGGCAGAGCCCTGAGAATGGCCAGACCCCACCAGGGGTCCAGGGCGCAGGCTGCAGCCCAGGAGGGGCGGGCATGGAGGGCGGGGCCTGGAAGCCAAAGAGCGCGGACAGGAAGGGCACCACCCCCAGGCAGGCTGTGCTTATCTGCCTGCAGTGTCACCTTGTGCACGTCCTGCATGCGCCCAGCGCTGGGAGCCCAACACCGGCTCCTTTTCCTCAAGCAAATCCAGGACTCTGGAGACCAGCTGAGTCCTGGCCGTGGGAAAGGCTGAGCAGGTTACTTGGTCCACCCCCGACGCAGGGAGCAAGCCTCCCTCCCTGCCCTAGACACCCATTTCCTCTCCCTGGCAAGATAAGGCACTGGCTTCAATAACCACCCCTTCTTGTAATCTGGAGCTGTCCTCAGGCTTTGTCTGCAGAGCCCAAACTCCCTGCCTCTGCCTGGGCTGAGAAGGGGAGGCAGGATCCCTCTGTGCACTCCCCCACCAACCCATGTTCTTGCTGTGGCCCTTCTGAGGCCGAGTTCATTCCAGGAGTTGGCCACGCTCACCCTTTGCCCCCTGATCTCCCAGGCCCTGGGATGGGTGCAGAGAGGATGCTGGGACACAGGCAGGCAGGAGGCACCTCAGCAGTGAGGCTTGGGACACACTCTGGCCTCAGGCTGGTCTGGGTTGCCCTTGAGTTGGTGGGTCATGACCCTGGCCCTCTAGGCAGCTCTCTCCCTGGGTATGCCTGGCACAGAGGATGGGCTGAGGGAGAAAATGGTGGTCCAGCACCCACCTTAGTCTTTGGGGGCCCCCCAGCACCCCCCAACCCTGATGTATCAGACGCAGGTGCCATATGTCCCCAGAGGGTGGGAACTACCTGCAGCCTGACAGAGCTGCACTCTGGCCTTGTGTTGGTGGAACACAAGGTCAAAGGCTGCCATCCCCTACCCCAGGCAGGGTGGAGTTTGGCCCCAGCCTCTTCTTGTCCTGCCTGGAAGCCATGCTTCTGTGGCTCCTAGTTCTGTGACTCCTAAGAGCGGTGGAGGAGGCAGAACTGAGCACCTTCAGTGGAACTGTTACCCCGGGGCTCTTCTGAAGACTGAGGAGGCTGGGCCATGGCTTACAACCCTGCCCTGAAATCTGGACTGGGCAGATCACCACCAGCTGCCTCCTGTGTCCTCCAGCCCACGGAGAGAGCTGCAGGGATATAGTTGCTGTCACTTTCACAGAAGACTGTGACAGCTGGGCTGGAGGTTCCCAGGGAAGTCCTGAGAGGTCCTGGAGGTGCCGGGCAGCTGGAAGTGGAGCAGTGTGGCCTCCTGAGTCCCTGTGCATGCAGTGCTCTGGCCACCCCTTGAAGGCCTCATCTGAAGCCTTCCTGTCCCATCTCTTGGCTTCTCCATTGAACATTTTCTGGCCCAGCCCCCTTGATGGTGGTCAGAAAAGCTGAGGAGACCTATGGGGGTGCAAAGGGCGTCCTGCCAGGGCTGAGGAGAGCAGAGATGTAGAAGGAAATCAAGTCCCAGGACAGGCCAGCTCCTGTGGGGGTGCCGAGCGGGACAGGCTGAGGCCTCCACATGCCTCCACAGGGACCTGAGGAACAACGTCATCAGCACGGTGCAGCCGGGAGCCTTCCTGGGCCTGGGGGAGCTGAAGCGCTTGTGAGTGGCATGTCCTGCCCCCAACCTCCCTGTTCCCCTAAACCCTAGAGAAAGTCCCGGATCCCGTGAGCCCCTCTTTATCAGTCCCCACTGTCTGTTTCTCAGCCCCCAGCCTCTACTGGGCACACTGGCTGGGATCAAGTGCACAGGCATTTCAAGCCCTCTGTGGCACTGGGCCCCAGCCCTCCCCCCACGCACGCGTGTCCCAGGTGCACACGTGTAGCTCTCACAAGCAAAGCACGTGCCACCTTGGAGCCTACGTGTTGAGTGTGCCTCTTTCTCTAGAGATCTCTCCAACAACCGGATCGGCTGTCTCCCCTCCGACACCTTCCAAGGCCTCCCCAGGCTTGTCCGGCTGTGAGTGATGGGAGGGAGGAGGCGGCGCCAGACCCTTCAGTCCCTGCCTTCTCTCCTCCCACCCTCCTGTTCCCTGGCCCAGGAAGGGCCTGAATCTGCTCCCCATTCCCCTGCCCCCTGCTCCCTGCAGGAACATATCTGGAAACATCTTCTCCAGCCTGCAACCCGGGGTCTTTGATGAGCTGCCAGCCCTTAAGGTCGTGTGAGTATCTTTCCCAGCCCAGGAGAGGACTCTGCTCTTTTCCTCTGCCCAGGAGGCAGCCTGGAGCCCGATGAGTAGGCAGTACACAGTGTCCCTGTGGAGGGGCGCTCACACGCCCACGTCTGTCCTTCCTAGCCCTGCCAACCTCAGTCACATGCCCGTTCCTCTGCTCTGCTCTGTGACCTGTCTGCCCATCCCACAGGGACTTTGGCACTGAGTTCCTGACCTGCGACTGCCACCTAGGCTGGCTGCTCCCCTGGGCCCGGAATCACTCCCTGCAGCTGTCCGAGCGCACACAGTGTGCCTATCCCAGTGCCCTGCACGGCCGCACCCTGGGTGCCCTACAGGAGACACAGCTCCGCTGCGGTGAGCCAACCCCAGCCTGCCCTCAGCGCAGCCTGTGTGCTGCGGGGCCCTGTGGCGGGTATGTCCTCCTCCTCCTCCTCCCCTCCTTCCGCAGGGTAGTCCTCCACCACCTTTCCTAAACTTCCTTTGGGGCTGGCTGCCCTGTCACATTTCCATCTAGTCCCAACCTCTTTGGGTAGCACATGTGCTTAAAAGGAGGAGCCCTCCTCTGTGTCCCAAATCCGCCCACTCCTCCCCTTTGCTCTCACCTCTGCAGACTTTGTCTTGCCCCCTTTTTTTTCCTGCCTTGCCCACCGAGCCCAGTGGGCCCTTTTGCATGCAGGCAAATAGTTCAGGCCTCAGTGTGTGCATCTCCTCGTAGAGGGGGCCCTGGAGCTGCATACCCACCACCTCATCCCATCCCTGCGCCAAGTGGTGTTCCAGGGCGACCGGCTGCCCTTCCAGTGCTCCGCCAGCTACTTGGGCAATGACACCCACATCCGATGGTACCACAACCGGGCCCCAGTGGAGGGAGACGAGCAGGCAGGCATCCTCCTGGCCGAGAGCCTCATCCATGACTGTACCTTCATCACCAGGTAGGGGCTGGGCTACCCCTTCTCTGCGTGTGCACAGGGTAGGGTGGCCACCTTCCGTATCGGCCATCTGCCAAAAAGCTGTGCCCAGATGTGCTTAGGGGTGTGTGTGTGTGTGTGTGTGTGTAGACCTAAGATTTGATCACAAGTGGTCTGAATAGAGCCTAGGAGTTTAAAAGTGACATTTCTTTAGTGGCTTAATCCCTACAGTAGACCTGTAAGATGTGAGATTATTTCCATAGGAAAAAAGGGAAATTTGCCAGCTGTGGTGGTACATGCCTGTAAACCCAGCACTCTGGGTGATTGTTAGCAAAAATTAAAGATACACTGGGGATGTAGCTCAGTGTGAAGGCCCTGGTGAATCTCCAGGACCAAAAAAATAAATATATAAATAAATAAAGGGAAATCAAAACTCAGGAAAACAATAACCACAAGGATGATCAGAATGAAAGGAGTGTGTGCCCTGTCCCTGGTACACTGAAGGACAGAGGCTGTGTCTGGGCACCTGTGGGGGCCTGGCCGGAGGGCATGGAGAGTGGCAGCAGACTGGGCTGGACTGCACCTCACTGAGCCGATGCCCGTCCACCTGCCCACAGCGAGCTGACTCTGTCTCACATCGGCGTGTGGGCCTCAGGCGAATGGGAGTGCTCCGTGTCCACGGTCCAGGGCAATGCCAGCAAGAAGGTGGAGATCGTGGTGCTGGAGACCTCTGCCTCCTACTGCCCTGCCGAGCGCATTGCCAACAACCGCGGCGACTTCAGGTTCGCACTGCTCTGCTCCGGAGAGGGTGACCCGAGATCCGAGCACAACCCTCTCTGCTGCCCCTGCCCGACACCCACTTTCACACCTGAGAGCACTGGGGACCAGAGGCTCGCTGTCCTCTTGTCACAGAGCCATTTCAGGCGGCCACAGCCCTGTGGGTAGGGCCACCATCTGTGAGGTGTTGCACATGGCACAAAGGCTTCTCACAGCTCCCTTCCATGAAGAGTTTGCAAAGGTCTCCCACAGACACTGTCGCATTTCTTGCTGGCACATGTACATGATACCGTCACATTTTAATATCTCAACAGCCTTCCCTGGAAGCAGGGTAGGTATGAGATTCCCCACTGTACAGCCTAAAATAGGAGCCCAGAGAGGGCAAGGGACTTGCCTAACGCCATAGCTAAGTGGCAGAGCTTAGATTTAAACTCCAAAGTCTGAGTTGTGCCCCAGGACCCAGTCACCTGGGACCACACTGTCAGAGCACAGAGTTAGCAAGCAGAAACTGGGAACCCCGTGGACACCCTCTGGCATCCCCTCTGGGATCCTCACCCAGACCTAGGGTCTGGCCTCAGTCCTAAGGGTGGGGTTGGGGTTGGTCCTGAGGCACCAGGGTCATGGCACTTTCCTGCTCTGCCCCTAGGTGGCCTCGAACTCTGGCGGGCATCACGGCCTACCAGCCCTGCCTACAGTATCCCTTTACCTCCGTGCCCTTGAGTGGAGGTGCCCCAGGCACCCGAGCCTCCCGTCGCTGTGACCGGGCTGGCCACTGGGAGCCGGGGGACTATTCCCACTGCCTGTACACCAATGACATCACCAGGGTGCTGTACACCTTCGTGCTGGTGAGGCTGGGAGCAGAGGGGAGGATGGGACGGTGGAGCCGGATGGCCCACGGGGGTTGGGGGGGAGCCCAGCCCCCAGGGCTGCACACAGGGCTGTGGGCCAGGACCTTCTCTGCTGGCATTGTCCTTTACCTTCCCTCTTCTGGGAGTTCAGAGCCACCAAAGCCACCCTAGGAGAGTGGACCAGGCCTCTACCCCACTCCTCTCTCCGCCAAAACATTGAGACATGGTCCATTCGTCCTTGCTGCTGGAAGGGGATGGCTTCAGCCTCGCATCACCTCCTACCTTGACTTGATGACCGGTAGTTTAGGCCCCTTTCCACAGCCACAGCGGCCCCAGGAGAGAGGCCTTTGGGGCCGTGCAGGGGCAAAAGGACAAGACAGGAAGCAGGATGCTGCTCTTTCCTCCTCCTACACCCTCAGATGCCCATCAATGCTTCCAATGCACTGACCCTGGCCCACCAGCTGCGAGTGTACACGGCAGAGGCTGCCAGCTTCTCGGACATGATGGATGTAGTCTACGTGGCTCAGATGATCCAGAAATTTTTGGGTTATGTTGACCAGATTAAAGAGGTGAGATTTTGTTCTCTGGAGCCCCTGGAAAGCACCTGCCATGGGCTTAGCCCCTAGGTCCCAACCCGCCTCCTGCCCTCTGACCACCCTGCCCCCTCCAGCTGGTGGAGGTGATGGTGGACATGGCCAGCAACCTGATGCTGGTGGACGAGCACCTGCTGTGGCTGGCCCAGCGCGAGGACAAGGCCTGCAGTGGCATCTTGGGCGCCCTGGAGCGCATCGGGGGTGCTGTCCTCAGCCCCCACGCCCAGCACATCTCTGTGGTAACGTGGGTCAGCACGGGGGGAGGAGCCAGCCCTTTCTTCTCCACTGTGTCCCCAAGGACAGTGAGCTAAGTTTGAGGTGTCAGGGGCAGTCCAGAGGGCAGGTCCAGGGCTGCTGAAGTCTTCGGCTTCCTGGTGGACTGAGTTGCAGGGCCGGCCTGATGGCAACAAACAGGAGCTGGAGGAACAACAGGGAGGCTCGGTCACTCGTGACAGTAAGAAGGGATGGCAGTTCCATGAGGCAGTGACATTTCCAACTTGGTGGGGTCGTTCACCAATGAATGACCATGGTAAAGCTGTGCCTACATGCAAGATACCATTTCGGCACTTTGGGAAGTGCCAAGGTTAGATGTGGACCCTGCTCTATAACCAAGTTGAGGCAGAGTGTGGTGGTGCTTGCCTATAATCCCAGCACTCAGGAGGCTGAGCGAGGAGGATCTTGAGTTTGAGGCCAGCCTGCGCTATAGGAGACTTTGTCTCAGAAAAGCAGCAGGAAGAGGTGAGCAGCGCAGATGAGAACATTGATGGAGCACCAGTGCCACAGCAGGAAGAGGAAAGTCCCTGGCCAGGGCGTGGGTGGGAGAGCCCTGCACACTAAGGCACCCACTTTGAAAAGACCTCAAGGAATAAAGGGATGCAGGCACCGCCCCAGCGGGTCTGCACCAGGGACATGTGCAACACCGGGAGCTGCCCAATCTCTGTCCTAGAACTCCAGGAATGTAGCGCTAGAGGCCTACCTCATCAAGCCACACAGCTACATGGGTCTCAGCTGTACAGCCTTCCAGAGACAGGAGCTGGGGGTGGTGGGGCCAAGGCTGGGCGGCCCTGGCCACAGCACCCCACCTGAGCCCGAGCTCCTCGCTGACCAGCACCTCCGCTTCCGCTGCACCACCGGGAGACCCAACATTTCCCTGTCATCCTTCCACATCAAGGTGGGCGTGGGGGCGGTTGGGGGTCAGTGTCTGGTGGTGAGGTGGGTGGTATGGGGGCAGGTCGGAAGACTTCAGAGCCCACAGGTCTCGAGTGTCTCTGAGGACCTCCTCTGTCCCCCCAGAACAGCGTGGCCCTGGCCTCCATCCAGCTGCCACCCAGCCTCTTCTCATCCCTTCCGGCTTCCCTGGCTCCCCCGGTACCTCCAGACTGCACCCTGCAACTGCTGGTCTTCCGAAACGGCCGCCTCTTCCGCAGCCATGGCAACACCTCCCGGCCCGGAGCTGGCGGGCCTGGCAAGAGGCGTGGTGTGGCCACCCCTGTCATCTTCGCGGGCACCAGTAAGGGACTGAACTCCCCGCACACGTCTGCCCTTCCTGCCCGCAGCACCACTGCCCTGGGGGAGGGCTGAGGATAAAGGGTCTCTCACTCGTTCCTAAGGAGAACAGGCTCCAGTGAACAGCAGATTTTAGGAGGGCTGTAAGCACAAATTTCAGCACACTCTGAACACACTTGCACTTCCTGCTGAGCCACACACGGCCCTGGCAGGTGCTGTCCCTGTGTTACAAGGGGCGCAGGAGAATGCAGCCCATGTCCTGCCACACGGAGGCTACTGTCTTCCTGAGTGGTCGGAGACTGGAGTAACACTCAGGGCCGCCTTGGACAGGGCCGAGGAGGCTGCTGCCCAACAGGCGGCCCTGGTGAGAGGTGTCCTGAAAGACTATGGCCCTGGCATTGCGGCCAGAGGTGGGGCTGAGCAGGAAGCCTTGCTCATGGCCAGGATTCCCAAAGGCATAAAGGGGTGTGGGGACCAGGGTGGGGGGCAAAGTGACTCGAGACAGGGCGGATGGGGACACTGCCGGACAGAAGGCCTCACTTAGGTCTGGCACCAGGAGCAAAGGGACACACACTGGCAGCCCCACTCTCAGCGAGAAGCTCCATGCAGCAGGCCCAGGCCAGTGCAAAACATGGCTAGGCACATCTGAAAGCCCCTCAGAGTCTCAGCACTGCCTTCCAAGCCTTGTGTGGTGGCACGTGCCTGTCATTCTGGCATTCTGGAAGGCTGAATCAGGAGGGTTGCAATTTTGCCTGAGCAACTTGGTGATTTAGGGAGACTGTCTCAAAGAGAAAAAGGGGTTCTGGGTTTAATCACCAATACCACTAGATAAATGATAGATATATTGATAGATGATAGATAGATCTGCCTTCCTCTGTATACCATCCCTACAAGAAGGACTCTGTGCCCTTTTCCCAGCCAGGTTGGCTGTCACTACCCCGGGTCCCCTGCCTGCCCCGCTCTGGCTGGAAAGGCTCCCTAAGCTGCACAGCGCTGTGGTACACGTGCACCCCTGCACAGACAACTGCGTCCTTGCAGACGGCACCCTTCAGCAGGGAGCAGTCCCTGGCATTGAACAGCAGTGCTGGACATTCAGCGTGCATAGTTAACAAGGGACAACCCAGCCTTGTAGGGGTCAGGAAGGCCTTTCCTGAAAACCAAGCTTTCTGAGACCCGAGTCCCCCAAGGAAGGCAATGTCGGTGTCAGCGGCAGTGGAAAGTGTAGGGTTAGGGATCCGTGTGGCCCAAGTGCCAGGCACATCCCCTCACAGGTCTGCCCGGAGCTTCTCTCTTCCTTGTCCTCCCATGCCACCCTGCTGGCCCCTCCCAGGTGTCCTCCTGACACCTGCCTTCACCCAGCCTCCTCCACATTAGCCGCTTCCTCCCTGTCCCAAGTACGCAGCGAGTCCTCTCTTCCTGGAGGAGCATGCCATCCTTCTCCTTGGGCATCTATAGTGGCACTCTACACTAAGCCGTATCCCCTCTTATTCATTATTTATTTTGAGACAAGTTCTATGTTGCCCAGGCTGGGCTCAAATTTAGAATCCTCCTGCCTCAGCTTCCTAACTGTCAGCCATGAACTTCCGTAGCCAGCTAGCGCTTCTTTATTTTTGCTTCTCACACCTGCCTAGTCTCCCCGATTAGACTGTGGCTCATACTTGGCATCCACCTCTGTCTCCAAGCCCCACCCAGTGCTCCACCCCGCAGGTATCATGCAAGCTCCGACTGCTGCCACCACTGCCACTTGTCCGCCCTCCCTGCTCTGCATCCAGGCCAGCCTCCCACACAGCCTGTGTGTCCACATGGACTTCCCTCTCCCTGTAGGTGGCTGTGGCGTGGGGAACCTGACCGAGCCAGTGGCTGTGTCTCTGCGACACTGGGCTGAGGGGGCCGATCCCATGGCAGCCTGGTGGAGCCAGGAGGGGCCCGGGGGCTGGAGCTCAGAAGGCTGCCAGCTGCGCTCCAGCCAGCCCAACGTCAGCTCCCTGCACTGCCAGCACCTGGGCAGTGTGGCTGTGCTCATGGTGGGTATGATGGGGCATGATGGGCAAGGGGCACATGGGCAGTGATGTGGGAGACTCTAATCACAGACAGGCAGCAGCCTACTGAGCCCCATACCTGTGTGGGCTCCCAGGACGCAGCCTCTGGCCTCTCTGTCACAGGAGATGGGCGGTCCTGTGTCTCCCCTTATGTGCAGAGCTGGACCTGAAACCCGTGGCCTTCCCCCTGCACCGTACTCCCCGAAACCGAGACTCTCCGAGGGGAAAACCAACATGGGAGCATTCACGACCCCTCTCTTACCACATCTGTCCCCTACTTTCCCGGATTCTGAGCAGGCCTGCAGCTGTGTCACAGATAGAACCTGCCCCGCCACTTCTGGATTTTACAGGCTGAGGATGTGAAAAGTTCCTGGAGAGGCAGGACATCAAGGCTGTCAGTGTCTCCTCTAGCGGACTCCTAAGAGTGGCTGGCCGTGCCTAGGAAAAGGGCCTGGGGGGCTGGCAAGTTTGGCTCACTCCTTCCTCCCTCCTTCTCAGGAGCTGAGTGCTTTCCCCAAGGAGCCTGGGGGCTCTGGGGCCGGGCTGCACCCTGTCGTGTACCCCTGCACAGCCCTGCTGCTGCTCTGCCTCTTCTCTACCATCATCACCTACATCCTCAACCACAGGTGAGCGCTGCAGGGAGGGTGGTCAGGCTCACCCAGGACAGTGACTGCCCAGGTCCACCTGGCCTGCAGCAGCTCTTGCCTAGCACTGTATTGGAGGGTTCTGGGGCTGGAGCACACATTTTGGGAGTTACGGACTCCTGCCCTGTGTCCTCGGCCACATTCACACGCATACACACGTGGGCACATACACAGGTGTCTGCCTTCCCCTTCGGCGCTCCCAGTGGCCTCGAGACCCCGTGGGCTGACCTTGGGCTGGGCAGCCCATTAATGAAAGATTTTCTCTGGGAAAGCTCCATCCACGTGTCCCGGAAGGCGTGGCACATGCTGCTGAACCTATGTTTCCACATGGCCATGACCTCTGCCGTCTTTGCAGGAGGCATTATGCTCACCAATTACCAGATGGTCTGCCAGGCGGTAAGCGGGCACGGGTGCCAGGGGCTCCGAGCTAAGCAGTGGCAGTGTAGGTGTAGATTAGGGAGATGCAGAGCAAGAGAAGAGAGGCTCCTGGGAACAGGCCCCAGCTCCAGTTCTCTCTGCCAGCTCGGAGGGTGACGTGGGGTCTGCAATGGCATAGAGTGCACTGGTAGGAACCAGGCCAGAGGAGGTAGGAGATGAGGCTTCGGAGTGCAGAGAGGATCGATAGAAGTCAGGGATGGACCACAAAGCGCCAGCAGATTCCAAAGAACCCCTGGGGCGGGCACAAAGCTTGGGTGGAAGTGGAGAGGACAACAGCAAGGACAGAGTGTGGGGGGCACCCGGTCACCAGGGACTGAGTAGAAAGAGCTGGGGGTCTGAAGACGTGGGGCATGCTGGCAGGCTGAGCTCTGGGGTGGCCCAGCCAAGCTGCCCTGGCCCCAGCCTCAGCTCCCTGACCACAGGTGGGCATCACTCTGCACTACTCTTCACTGTCCACCCTGCTGTGGATGGGGGTGAAGGCGCGAGTCCTGCATAAGGAGCTCACCTGGAAGGTGCCCCCTCCACAAGAAGGTGACCCTCTGCCACCTGCTCCCCAGCCCATGCTCCGGTAAGCATGTCACCTGTCGGCTGTGCAGGGGCAGCAGAGTTCCCAGGGTGGAGGCAGGGAGGCCCTGCACCCAGGCAAAGCCCTCGCTGCAGCTAGCCACGCAGACTGCAGTATGAACACATCCCCAGGCTCTGCAGATACACAGGGCGGGGAACCTGGGAGCCTGAGGGGTAGCCCAATTTCAAGAGAGCAATTCTGGCTTCTGTCCCTTAGAACGGTCTTGGCCAAGGCCAAGGCCTGTCTTCCAGGCCTGGCTGACAGTGGCTTTGCATCCCTGGCACAAAACAAACAAAAAATCCCGAAACAAAACAATGACAACAACAAAACACCAACAACCAAGCTGTGACAGATTTAAAGGGAACACGGTAGGGGGCAGAGGTACCAAGTGGAGGTTCCTGTTCTTCCTTCCACCCCATCTCTCTGATATCCCAACCCTGCTCCCTTCCAGGTTCTATTTGATTGCCGGAGGGATCCCACTCATCATCTGTGGCATCACAGCTGCGGTCAACATCCACAACTACCGGGACCACAGTCCCTAGTGAGCACCTCTCCCTGCTACCTGTCACTGCTGCCTGCATGGCTGCCCAACACCTACTCATCGGGCACCAGAGGCCCCCCACACCCGCCCCAGACAGCAGCCTGACCCCCCAACCCTGCATGGGACTAAGCCAGGGCTGCCTCTCAACTCCTCAGATCCTACCTCCCCCAGCCCGGCCTGATGTCTCCTTCTTCATCCTCTGCCCCTGTCTCCCCTAGCTGCTGGCTGGTGTGGCGTCCCAGCCTCGGCGCCTTTTACATCCCGGTGGCTTTGATTCTGCTGATCACCTGGATCTACTTCCTGTGTGCAGGACTGCACTTACGGGGTCCTCTGGCAAAGAGCCCGAAGGGCGGCGGCAGCAGGATCTCCCTAGAGCCAGGGGAGGAACTGAGGGCTTCCACCAGGCTCAGGAGCAGCGGCGCCCTCCAGAGTGACTCAGGTTCCCTGCTGGCAACCGCGAGCACAGGGGTGGCGACCCCAGGTTTCCCGGAGGACTGTGACGGCCTCTATTCCCCAGGAGTCCAGCTGGGGGCGCTGATGACCACGCACTTCCTGTACCTGGCCATGTGGGCCTGCGGGGCTCTGGCCGTGTCCCAGCGCTGGCTGCCACGTGTGGTGTGCAGCTGTCTCTATGGAGTGGCGGCCTCGGCCCTGGGCCTCTTTGTCTTCACGCATCACTGTGCCAGGCGCAGGGACGTCAGGGCCTCCTGGCGCGTGTGCTGTCCCCCGGCTTCTCCCTCGGCCCCCCACGCTTCAACCCGTGCGGTGCCCACCACCATCGAGGACGGTCCCTTTGTGGTGGCCGAGGGGCCCGGGTCCCTCCAGTCCTCCCCGAGCGGCAGCAGCGGGCCTTGCAAGCTCACCAATCTGCAGCTGGCCCAGAGTCAGGGGTGCGAGATGGGGATACCCCGCGGGGATGGGGACCCGGAGCCCACGGGTCCCCGGGCGGGCCTGGCCCCACGCCACCCCAACAACGTGCACCACGGGCGCCGCGCGCACCGGAGCCGAGCCAAGACGCCCCGCGCGGGGGAGGCGGGCGGCAGGAGCCGGCTGCGGGCGGTGCGGGCGGGCGCGATCCCCGGGGCGCCAGAGCCGCCTTCCAGCGAGAGCGGCAGCCTGCGCCGCAGCCCTAGCGACAGCCACCCGCCCGAGGGCGAGGCCGCGCTCACGCTGTCAGAAGGCAGCGACACGAGTGCCGCGCCGGCCCCTGAGGCCGGGCGGCCGGGCCAGCGCCGCAGTATCAGCCGCGACAACCTCAAAGGTGGCGGCGCGCCGGAGAAGGAGAGCAAGCGGCGCTCGTACCCGCTCAACAGCGCCAGCCTGAACGGCGCGCCCAAGGGCAGCAAGTACGACGACAGCGCCGCCTGCGTGGAGGCGGCGGGCAGCGGCTGCATGAAGACAGGCCTCTGGAAGAGCGAGACCACCGTCTAGGGCCGGCCGCCGCACGCTAGGACGAGCCGCAGCGGGCTGTTACCGGAGCTGGAGCCCGGGCCCGGCCGCACAGCGCAGTCAGCAGGGCCGAGGGTGCTGCCCGGCCGAGGCTGGGGAGAGGCAGTGGTCTACTGCTTGCCTGCAGGGCCACCCCTCTGCGGTAGTAATACCCCGGAAACACGCTTGATAAACTTCCGTCCAGCTCAGGCCAGTTTTAAGGTTAAGCTCTAGGAGCCCTCCCAGGTAGGCTGAAAGCCCTGTCGGTCTGAGTGGGGGAGCACAGTTCAGCCAGGACGGGCTCCTTCCCAAGCGCCCCATGTTCCTGCGCACGGGGCCTCCGGCTACTGCCAGCCGCCCAGGAAGACAGGACAGGAGCTTGGGTCCGCCCTGACTGCCTAGCTCGGGGGAACCTTGCTCCTCCCGAGGCTCTGGCTCCGTGAGCCACCCTAGCACGCGAGCCACTGCCAGGCCCAGGGTGGTATTACCTGGTGCTGCTCTTAAGATTAGCTATGCAAGAGGGGACAGTGGGCGAAGGGCAGCTGTGGAGATCAACCAGTTCTGTAAGAGCAAGGCAGGTGGGAATGGCACGCAGTCAGAGGCAACACCACTCCGTGACTGGTACCCACGCAGGACCCAGCACTCAGAACACAGCCTAGGCGCCCCCACCTGCAAAGCTGACTGCAGGTGGCCACTAACTGTAGGAAAGTGGAGGCGCCCACACCTGGATTCGGGCAGGAATGAAGGAACAGTGCTCTGAAGATGGCTCCACCGTAACGCTGCTGCTGCCGCCGGTGGTTTGGAGAAGCCCTTCTGTTCAGTTACAAAACCGTCTCCACCTTCCACGCAGGGGACACAGGAAGACCACCTCCTTGCCTCTGTGAGGCCATATGGAAGAAGCACCCCAATAATGCAGTCTCTAACTCCACGGTAGGGAGAAACCTCCAAGATGTCAAAACAGCTTCTGACTCGAAGAAGCCCGAGCCAAGCCCTGAGGCAGGGACGGGTTCCTGCAGCTCAGGGGTCTGTGCCTTCACTACTTTGAAACACCAGCACCCGGACCTTTCCCAACCTAATATGCAAACACCAGCCTTACTATAGGACCAACACAAGTGGAGGGAACCCCGGACCCTATGAAGAGCAATGGGACCCAGGTCTGGCCCAGGTCCCCTCCCAGCCTCCATGTCCCCCGGCCTAATCACCACGTGGAAAGGACACAGGGAGAAGAAACTTCTGCTCCTTGAGATAGGTCCTGTTATTTATGCTTGCTGCACAGACAATATTAGGGGAAAATAAGCTTTGTATTATTCTTCCACATACGCTGGCTGCTGTTTACATACCCTGCCAATGCCTTAGCACTGGAGAGCTTTTTGCAATACGCTGGGGAGAGGGAGGGAGGGAATGAAAAGTGCCAAAGAAAACATGTATTTAAAAGCTCCGATTTTATACAATAGAATGTTTTCTAGCAGATGTCTCTTGTTTTAATATATTAAAATTTGCAAAGCCCTTTGAGCTATAGCCGTAGTCCACCCACGGTCCTTTTATTGAGGTAGACGATCGCATGACACCATGCACACACAGCACACAAGTGCCAGCCAGTGCCCAGAATCGACAGGCCAAGAGTTTCCCAGCTCCTACGCCTCTGTGGGTTAACAGCATTGCAAATGCTGGCGGCTCCACAAGCAGCAGGGAGAGCCCCACAGGCCTGCAGAATGATCAACAGCAATGTGTTCAATTCAAACCCGGGGAAGAAAGAGCCCAGCTATTTTCCCTAAGTCTTAAGAAGTCATCCCACAGAATGCAAATGCATGCAACCTGCCATCCTGCAGCCAAGGGACAGGCTCCTTCCCGACCCACAGCCATGCACACACTCCTCCCAACTTCTCTCCAGGACCTCAAGTCTGACTGACTGCAGCACCCCTCTTGGTTCCTTCAAACAAGAAATGATATCCAGACGCTTACACGCACCTATTTCCTGGGATCGCTATCACACTGCCGTTGGGGGAGGCATCAAGAAGGGTTGGGGACACTCAGAGCAGCCTGGCTAGCAGCTTGGGCTCTCTGAAAGTCCCTCACTTCCTGAGGGGTACGCAGATACTGCTCTATCTCACTGTCAGAAATGACCTCATCTCCAGTGACCATGGAGACAGGGGGCATGGAGCAGCTCCGCTTCGGGGGTTTCAGCATGCAGGGTGGGAGGAGGAGTGCAGGACTGGCTGGTCGCTTCCCCTGGAGCAAATCTGAGGTGCTACCCCCCACCTCCTCCTCTCTCTGTCCTTGTGGCTGCCTCTGCTGCTCCTTCTCCTGGGTCCCCCTTTCTGTTGATCCATCCTGAAAGGCCATTCGGACCAGCATGTGGCGGTGCTGGAGCAGGTCACCAATGTGTTTCACCACAGACCGTTTGTCAAGTTTCAGAACCTGCAGCCAGGCCAGCTGCTTTGCCATCCGCAGCAACACAGCCACCAGCTCCTGCAGCCGGGAGGCAGTCGGGTAGGGCAGATCCACATTTGCCATTTTACAAAATCGGGCCAGGGAACAAGTCAGCCGATCAGAAGGCTGTAGAGACTGCCACGCCAGGAAAGCAGCAGCGGTGATGACTGGCAGGGGATGCCGCCCAGTGACCAGCCATGTCTCACTGGCCAGTTCCACCAGCTGCAAGGTTCGAGACAGCATCTTGTCTTTATCTTCCACGTATTTGGCTGGCACAGATGGAGAGGCCTGGAAGAGTTTAAAGCTGCAACAACAAAAACGAGGGTCAGGTCTCTATGGCGGGGGCTGCTCTCCCAGAGTGAGAAAGAACAGTCCTCTCCAAATGGGGAAGCTATTCTGCCCTCAAACCCACGAGGCAGCAAATTCAGACAGGCCATGAAAGCAAACAGGGGCACATGCTCTGCAGGTCAGGGGAAGGGCAGCAGCCAACAGCAAGACACTAACAGCTGAGCACCTTCCTGTTTGCCACTATTCTTAATGCTTTTTAATATTCTCATTTAAAACTCTACTCTGTTTTGTGCATTTAGAGTTAAAAAAAACTCACACCTAGTCATCCTGCTAGGAAGGAGGCAAGGTTCAGCAATTACTTTTTCTTTCGGTGCTGGGGATTGAAGCCAGGCAGGCCCTCACTCATGGTAGACCCTCTGTAACCTATCTCGGAACCCAAGGCTATCTGTATCAACTGCCTTTGTTTTCTACTATTTTTGTTCAGAGAAACAAAAAAGAACATAGCTGTTTAAAAAAAAAAAAAAAAGGCTGTTTTTAACCACAGTTCTGCCTTTAACTAATACCCCTTCAGCTCCATTTACAGATGAGCCCATGAGGTGGTGCTGCTGCTCACAGCATGAAACTCCAGGAAGTGCCCTTCGTACAGCAGGTGACTCCAGCAGGACTCAGCAGCCCTATGCCAAGGCCAGTAACTACTTTCCTTAAACTGTTAGGTTGTTCTGAAGGCAATGAGATTTGAAAATTAAGTATTCTAGAAATGTACAACAGTATTAACCTTACTGGTAGCAGGCTTAAGATACAGAAAATAGATTTTTCCCCTACATCGATTTAAATGAGCTCTAATTAAAAAAAAAAAAAAAAAAAAAAAAACCCACGCAAAATGATTGAGATACACAGACCTAACCCATTTCACTGTCCCCTTCGAGGCAGGTACCTGCTACAGTAAGTCTTCACCAAGTCGGCCAAGCACAGAGAAGGCACGTCCAGCCCCAGGAGCTTCACTATCTGCATGTAGGTGCCAGAAAACACATCCAGGTCTGCATACAACAGGGTGCAGATGGTTCCCATGGTTAGGGGCCAGTTATGCTGCCGGCAGGTGATTAAAACACAGCATCCGACCAACACTTCCTTCTTCTGCAGCCTGGCTGTTCGGATGCCAGAGTGCCGGTATGCCTGCTGGTAGTACGTGATCGCAGTCTCCTCAAATGTCGCTGGCAACTGCAGAACTCGACAGAGATCTCTCACTCGGCGGAGACCTAGGAAAACCCACAGCAAAAGTTAGAGGGTTTGGAGGAAATAGTGTGAAACCTAGGAAGATCTGCTACAACTTAATTTAGTTCTGCTAAATGTCACCGATAACCAGAGGCACCAATAATGTACCTGGTCTATATCAACAGGGGAACATTTGATGGGAGGGGGGCTTTGTTTTGTTTTGTTTTTTGCAGTGCTGGGAATCAAACCTTGTGCCTCCCCACCCCTGAAGCCAAAGTTTTATCCAGGTTCCACTCAAACATACCCCCTGCAAGCCCAAAACGCACACTGAAAGGCCTCCGCTCTCAGAACCAGCACCAACCTTGATTTCTAGTTGCTAGTTTCTTCTACTCTGCCTTACACTACTAACACTGCAAACAAGAAAGCACGCAGATAAGTTCGGCTATCAGGATAACTTTCTTTAAAACCACTGTGTCATAAAAGGACAAGTCTCACCTCGTTGCTGGCTGCGACTAACTTGTTCGTTTTCCCCAGTGCTTCGAGAATATGTTATTTCTGTAAGACAACAAACAACAAACAGCACGCTTAGCCCCTATTCCTCAGAACCCTGCCCTCCCACCACACAAGGCCAGGGAGCAGAATTGTGAACACTGCCTTCTGTTCTCTGTCCCCCAGACAGTGCCCCTCCAAGCATAAGAAAAGGCCCCTCTGGTTTTCTACCTCCACAGGGGGATCAAATACCCCTGAGGAAGGTTAGTACTGTACTTAAAGCAATTCCAAGCATTCCAAAGTTTCAGTCCTTTTTCCTGTGCATTCAATCTAGGTAATTTTCTTGACTACAGATTTTGAAGGCTGCCCTGGTCAAAGACTTGGAAAGCGAAGGAAAAATGGAGGGTTTTTTGTTGTTTTGCCAATTAGTGCTCTTCTGGGATAACAGTATGTGCTGCATTCATAAAGAATTTACCCACAACCTTTCAACACTGACCAAAGGCTCCTGCTTCATTTATTCAACATTCATTACCGCCACTATGTACGACAGATGCTGCACTACAAAACAGCCGACTGGCAGCCCCTGACCGCGTTCATCTGGTCCACAGTTAAGTATGCGCAGGACACCGAAAGAGGGAGCTAAACGGGGGAACCTGGGGTTCACCGACCCACCGCCCCGGGCCGCCCCCAGGGCCCACGGCGGGCCAAGTACAGTACCTCGGAGGTTGCTCTCCTCGCTGAAGGTAGTGGTGAGGAGCCCCTCGGTGACCACACAGCCGCAGTCGGAGCACACCAGCTGGCTCTGCGAATAGTGCGAGTCTTCCACGAGCTCAGCGGAGCCGCAGTCGGGGCAGCGGCCGGCGCCCGGCATCTTACACTGCACACCGCTGCGGAGCCCCGGGACGGCGTCCACAACCACTGTGCGCTCAAGGAACTCAAGCGGGACCCTTATAAAGACCGCACCTCTGCCTTCTAGCAGCTTGAACAAGCAAGCACTGGCTCGCCCCGCCCCGCAGCGCGTAACTTCCGGTCTTCTGCTCCGCGCACTCGGGTAGAAACAAGAGCTAAAAATCGAGGTTCCTGGTCTGAACTCAATCTCAGGTTCTTTGCTGGCTATAGTTTGAAGTGGGCCACACTGGCGGGTTAAATCTGGATAAACTTTCCATTTACATGACTACAGAGTAGAAATTGTTGCCCTACCTAAACCCCCTTTCTTTCTTTTTTCTTTCTTTCTTTCTTTCTTTCTTTCTTTCTTTCTTTCTTTCTTTCTTTCCCTTTCTTTTTCCCTCCCTCCCTTGCTCCCTCCCTTCCTTCCTTCCTTCCTTTTCTCCCTCCTTCCCTGCTTGCTTGCTTGCTTGCTTTCTTTCCCTTTCTTTTTCCCTCCCTCCCTCACTCCCTCCCTCACTGCCTCCCTTCCTTCGTTTCCTCCTTCCTTCCTTTTCTCCCTCCTTCCCTCCCTTGCTTCTTCCTTTCGGTACTAGGTATTGAACTCAGCACCACACACTCCGCTAGCTACAACCACAGGCTGGGCCCGACCTTGGAATTTTCCTGCCTCAGCCTCCCAGACTGCTGGGATTGCAGGCCTGCACCACAAAGCCCAGCCCTACTCTCTTGAAAACGTGGAATCACAAGTTCTGCCTTTCTCTTTGGTAATGAATGTTGATTTGAGCCATAGTAAAAAATTTGTCACTAAAAGAGAGAGTAGTATATCCAGATGGTAAGAAAATATGTTGTTTTCCAGAGCTGCTTCCTCTAGAAAGTTGCTTCCTCTCTTTGAAGTCTTTTTTTTCCTCGACTATAAAATAAGGGAGTTGAGCTGGGTGTGCTGGGGCATGCCTGTAATCCCAGCACTCCAGAGGCTGAGGCAGGAGGATCATTGCAAGTTCAAGGCCAGCCTGGCCTGCAAAGTGAGCTCAAGACCAGCCTGAACTGCATAGCAAGACCCTGTCTCAAAAAGAACGACCCCCCCAAAAAAAAGTAAAATAAGGGAGTTGAATTCAAATCTGGAATTGTAACCTCAGATGGTTTCAGAGACCCAGCAAGGAATGTCTAACGGGCCTTGGGTGAACAATGTGGAGTAATGACATTGTTGGCAAACTGGGGGATGCAAGTAGATTTGGATGTGGTTAACCCCTGAGCTTTATCCAGGTGTGGTGGCACATATCTGTGACCCCAGCACTCTGGAGGCTCAGGCAAAGGATCACAAGTTCAAGCCCAGCCTAGGCAACTTAGTGACTTGAGACATTGTCTCAAAATAAAAACTGAAGAAGGGCTGAGGGTGTAGCTCAGTGCAATGCCCCTGGAGTCAATCCTTAATACTGAAAAAAAAATTTATCTGTCTGGCAGAAGCCCTCTGGTTCACAACTACTACATAAGACTCCCACCCATATTTAAGCAGAATTTCATAGGACTACCTTCACAGATTAATAGGAAAATGTGAAAAAACAAACCAAGCAAAAATATCTTTATGAAGCATCCCTTGTTTTCCACTTTCTATGTTTGATATCCAGAGCTAAGGATGCTCCACCCCCACCCCAAGAGACCGCGGTCTTAGGTGTGAGAATCACTACTTCATATTAGAGAAGTCCCACTCACTGCCACAAGGCTCCACAGGGCTAGAGGATCTTGCCCTTCCCTCCAGCAGAATCACAGGCAGAGACATTTGGAATAGGCAGGAAAAATGGAGTCCGTGTAATTCAGTTCCTTCATAGGACTTCTCATAAGTCAGATAAGTCCCAGCCTCCCAGAAGAGAGAAGTTCCTGGCAAGGGACCAGTGTTCCTGTTATGAGCCTACTCAGTAAAAGGGATGGGGTCTATGACCACTGGTCAAAGGAAACAATAATCCCCAGTAAATCTGAATACAGGCACACAGGCAGACACCTATGATCCCAGCCTCTCAAGAGGCTGAGGCAAAAGGGTCACAAGTTCTAGACTAGCTTGGACAACTTAATGAGACCCTGACTCAAAAAGTAAAAAATTGGTGGGGGCTACAGATCAGTGATAGAGTATTCCTGGGTTCAGTTAGGTATTGGGAAAAACTGAGTAAATGCTTTAGCCCCATAGTAGAAGGGAGCTTTGGCATTTCAAGTTCCTGTCTCCACAACTTCTTCACCAGTGTGAGAAAGGAAATGAGGATTTATTTCGGGTTGTCTGGCAGATAAATATTATATGACACTTGAATGGGTGTACACATACATCTTAGAGACATTTGTGAGTTTAGCCAGTACTACTGACATTCTTCCTGTCAAGTCCACAAAAATAACATAATTGGTAATGAAAGTACTGCTATATTAGTGTGCAGAACAATGTCAGATTCATCTCCAATTTTGTGCCTATCTTGAACCTAACTGCATTAAAGGGGGAAAAAAGCAGGATTTTCCATATCCTTGACATCCCGCTTTCTGTGGCATTACCCATTGTAAATTGGCAGAACAGCTCTACGACCCCTCTCCACCCAGCCACTCGGGACTAGCAGCGTCTTTCCCAGTCACAAGCGGGCCCAGAAAAGCCATGTTGTCAGACACAGGCTGGGAAGAGGGCAAGATCCAGTTCAGAGGTTGGCACAAAGCCGTGGGAATCTGGGGGCTTCCCAGTTGAATTATTTGGAAATGTATTTGTCTCACTAAGAAATCAAGGTAGCCCATTATTCTCAGTGTGCTCTGTGGTGCTACAAACTCTTCTAAGGGTCATCATCATTCATGATAGTGACTGTGTAATTGATGCTCCTCAGCTGAGTGCCCAGGGCAGGCTGGGTCAGAGGCTGGGAAGGGGAGGCTGAGGAAAGGGGCCGAAGATGTGGTCCAGGTATGCAAGGTTGCAGGTTCTTTCCTAAGAAGACACTGAAGCCAGAGGTGCTGAAGGAGAGGACAACCTGGCACCTGCAGGAGCTCTCCATTGAGCTCCTTTGGCATTTGCCTCTCTGCCTTTCCCTTTGCTTGCAAGTTTCTATGAAAAAGATCCCATCCTGGGTGTGGGGAACCACTCAGACTGTTTCAAAGCTCAGGGATGTCTAAGGACACCTGAGTATGTGACCCTCCTTGTCTAGTGCAGGTGCACAGTGGGATACAGTTACATAACCATGATTTAGCACAGGTAAACACGTATGTGTTGGCTACAGCACTATGTAAGAATGTAAACATGAGATAACAACTTGTATAAGAATTATATAATAAAGACTCAAGACAGTTCTCGTGTGCTCTTGCTCTGGCTCCCCCCTGCTCTATGCTGCCTGCTGTTATTGCTGATGTCTTGCACATGTGTGTTCTTTAACCTTGCGACCTCACCCATGAAAATCTCCCTTGGGCCCCCCTGAGTGAGCCAACAACTGGCATAGTCGATGGGACATTGAGGTGAGTAGTCCCATGGCGGCTGTGGAAACTGCACCCAAAGGTGAGGGAGAGCCCAGAGGAATGGCTGATAAGCAACTCTGGCTTCACTATAGCTACCTGTAGCCACCTTCTTGGCAGCTTGGAAGGCCCTGGAGGACTAGGAATCAGTCTGTTTGGAGCCCATGATGTCTTGCAAGCCTTAGAAGCAATAGAAAAATTTCTCCCCGTCACCATGAAATGGCAGGGTGGGTGGCTTTGCTGTTTTTTTACTCTCTTCTGCTGAGTAAATCAAGAGGCGGATGGCCTTGTCTGGCAAGCAGACCGGCTGCAGCAGATAGAGGAGGACTTTGAGAATGGCTGGCTGCTGCAGAGCTCAGGTTTCAAGGCATGGGAAGCACTGCCTTCTCCAGAAATATCTCCAAAAGCATGAATCCTCATGTCCCAGAAAACCCCCAAGAAAAATCCCCCAGTTTTGCATGCTAGGGCAGCCATTCATCAAAAAGTGGAGGTAGAGGAATCCCTAGCCCAGGGAGGAGGACTTGTAGGGCTGCCCACCTCCACCTAGCACACAACACACATAACCTGTACAGCCATGGAGCTGCAGGAGCTGGAAAAACAATCAAAGCAGAAGGTGGGTGAAGCAGTGCCTGTGTGGCCGCTACAACTGTGGGACAACGGGGCTGAGAAGCAGGTAAGCCCACAGGAGATGTCCCAAACAGCCAGCATAGCCAGCATAGCCAGCGCCCCTCGATGAGATGGGCTCTGCAGGATATGCAGAGGATGACCCCAGAAACAGGTAATCAGAGTGTGACAAACTGGTCGATGGCAGCAGCCCATTTGGTTTGGGAGAATCCAGGTGACCTGCCAGAGGAAGTTACTATCTAGACTTGATAACTGTGCTACATGAAATGGGGATGTGGCAAATGATGTTCATACGGCCCAGAGGAGGAGTTGCTAATGGCACACGTGAAGGACATGAATCTGGCAAGCGGGCCAGCCAGCACGTTCAGGTCACTGGCAGCCCTTCCAGCTCCCTTTACAGATCGCCCAATCCATGATGCTTGGTCAGCCTGGGACATGTGGAAGTGAAGCGCCGAGGTAAGGCAAGATCTGTAAAAACTATACTGGCAAAGGAGAAAAAGAAAGGCCCCACTTGCCTGGGGCCATCCTCCCAAGGACAGGCTCTGGGGCCACTGAGGGTGGGTCAGTGCCAGATCTGGGTAAACCTGCTGGCTGCCAGCCTAGCTGCAGATAAGTTAGACAGGCAGCCTTTGGAAGTGTTGCTGGCTCTGTGGAGGCAGTTACGCCCTGAGCAGCGATACCAGCGGATGGGCCAGGGCCAGAAGGCCAAAGCAGCCCCAGTGAAGCTGGAAGAAGTGACACTGGCCTCCTTTCACCCTGGTTAGGAGGCAGGCCATGCTACCTGAGTCTTGGGGGTCCAGGAGACCAGAAGCCACATATAGAATTGGCTATTTACTGGTCCTCCCAAAATATGCAGCATGTACTAGCATTGGTAGATACCTGAACTGAGTCAACACTAATATACAACAACCCAGACCATTTTACAGGACATACTGCATATATAGAAGGATATGGCGGTCACTACATCACAGTCCAGAAGGCTCAGACTTTGGGTACCAGGCACTTGCTCCCACGCCTGTATGATGTTTGTTTCCCCAGTTGCTTAATACATACTGGGGGTGGATGTACCGACTGGTGCTTGGCCGGCACCATACAGGGAGAATTCCAGTTGTGAATGCTCATGATAAACACCACAGTCTGAGGCCATCCACACCATGCACAGCTGACTCTCCCACAGGCCACATGGGTTGTGTGTGTGAAGTGGTACCAACTACCTAGAG